CGGCATTTGCACTATTGGCAAATTCCATGGAAAGTCATACCTTGATAAAAGCGGATGATAGGAGAGCACCTTCGCCCTAATCCAGATCATTCAAGTCATAAAAGGAGCCTACTTCCACGGCCACCGTGTTGGTGGCTGACTGCCCGCATACACTTCCACGTTCCTCCGCAGTCGCTCCACTTTGGGGTGGAATCAGGTTGAGATCCATTTGAGCTCCGTCGTCCTCGTCTGAGACCTCGATGATAAGCGGGCAGTGACTGGAGTAGGCGCGGGTCGTGTCCGTGCGCTGCGCATTCTCGTTGCCCTCCGTGCCTGTTGTGCCATCAACGGCTTCCACCGAGGCACCATAAGGGATTTCTGTCAAACTGGTGGCAACGCCACTGGTTCGCATCCGTCGCAGCACCACAGCTTTTCGTTCCTGGCAGTGAGTAGTATGCTGTCCCCCTCGGCTCCAAGCGCACTGCGTGCAACAGTGAATATGGCTTTGGCCTGCTGTGCGTCCACATCCTTCCGTTGCACAAACGCTAATGGAACCACGCCACTGCTTCATCTGCACCTTTTGCCAAGCATGGTCGCATCGATCCGTGTGTGCACCAATGCTGCACCAGCCACAGCAATGACGGTGCTGGCCATACTTGTAGTGCCTTGTGCAGCCAGGAGTAGTGCATGCAAAGAGGCCATCTGTACCCTGTCGAGCGGCATTGACTCTGCGATGTCGTCGACGCCTCCAAGCTGGTGCTGCTGGTGCAGTAGAGGAGGCCAGTCCGCCATTCATACTCGACGAGGAAGATGGCGGCAGAGGAGCATCCGGCATGGTTTCATCCGTCACATCACTAGCGCCGCCATGGTCCCTTCCACGGTGAAGAGCTTGACCTCGACGATCCGTCCAGAAGTTGACGCCCTGCCGAGTCGAGCCGGGTCCTGTTAGCACTCCCTGAGCAGCGGCAACAGCGAGCGGCACTTGTGCTGAAGCAGTTACCGACGAGCCAACGACCACAGCAGCATCATCGGAGGCCATGCTGGAACCTGAGCACTCGAGGCTGATGAAGTAGGTTATTAAAGGGGGTTGGCAGTGAATGCGGCGCCGCGAGGCAGCATTTTAAGGCTGAGCGAGACCATCTGTCAGCATCTGTCAGCATGGAAACGGCATCCAAATACGGCACTCATGCTCAGCGCACACTGTCACCCGCCGGGAGTGAGTGTCAGCTGAAAGTGGAGACACACTCAAGTCCTCCGCACACACATTACATGGCAGCGATTGTCTAGGTTTGCCATTGCTTGCAGCGTGCGGCAAGCACACTAGTGATGAATTCCTGCGCAGTTCACGCCGAGGCGCCATGAAGTAGGGTGCAGGTATTTTAGAGTGCTTGGGCTGCACAGGTACTGTGAGCAGAGAGCTTCCCCTGGAGTGTGTCACTCCAGTATCCCGCTAACTGCGCAAATAGTGCGCGCAAACATTGCTTGATCGCTGCATAGCCGGCTTACAAGCACAAAGACACTACCTAGGAAGAACAAAACCCAGGTTTTCAAGCTCGGCCTTGTGTTTATCCATGGCGCTTTGATACTGTCTAGCAACATAGGCCAGCAGGACCACGCGGTCGCCACCTCTCCACGGCATGGTGGCGTGATAATGCTGCTGGCCGTGAAAAAGGTTTGCTACTGCACTGGTCGGGTACACTTGACCTCGGATGAGGCCTTCTTTGTGATGCTCCATATACATATCACCAGCCGTGTTTTCAACCCATAGCTGGCCATCCTGATGATGTGACAGGCCAATATGCAGACTGAACAAATCTGATTCGCTGGCATTGCCCTGATCCTTATGCACCTCCGTACCACAGTTCATGTTGACAGAAATGCTGGTCCAGGCATGTGTGCTCAGCGTGGAGAGTATCAGCTGATTAATTAGCCTGCAGACACATGGGTGCCGCTTGGTCTCGCTGGTGAGCCCACTCAGGCCGCCCTTATTGTACATGCCCAACCTGAAAATATAGCCCGAGGAAATGGCTCGCATGTCCTCGGCATAGCCTAGATCTCGGACCACCTCTCTGACAGCGGACCATAAAGAGGCGCTCCCTTCCTGAAGAAAAAGCCTGGCTAGACGCTCCGCCCGGCTCATGGTAGGAGGAGTCTCCAGCGTTGGCGGGGGCAGGGCCACTATGGTCTCTGCACAAATCGCACACGCAAGCTGCTCTGCATAGATCAGAAACTGCTCTCGTTGTTGTCCCGTGAGCATGTGTTGCGCTGCACAGACAATCTCGTTGCGTGTACACATCGACAGAAAGGAGGCCATAGGCTTGCCCTCGACGGAGAGGTTTGCCAACGCCTGCAGCAGCAGCATTTCCTCAAGAGCCGCATAATGCAGATGGCCAGGTAGCTCCAGCGTGAGCACCGACATTGATCGTCCTAGACCCCTAGCCTAGGAACCGAGGACCGACCTAGGTCATCGGTCAGTGTCGCTGGGCCAGCGCTGCATGCATGCATAGCAAGTTGGGGCTCAACAGCAAAACGGAGCATTTCGGAAGATGGTGCATCACTTGTGACGGGCATCTAAGGCGCGAGCGCAGTTGTCGTGTCCCCTAGACACGACTCGGCAGATGGCCGACCTAGACCCCTGCCGGCGCTCGAGCCCACACATTCTGGCACAGACTTTTGACCTCATCTGCAACGGAGTGCTTGCAATATCTGGAAAGGCTGGTGAACTCACGAACTAAAATGGCAAAGAAACGAACACAAGGCTTGTACGATTTTGACGCAATTGGGCTGCAGGAGTGGCTTCTGCTCTGGCGCCCTACTGCGCAACAGGGGTCTTGACCACGGGGTCCCCTGTTACCCCGAAGTCAACACTAAGGGCTACGCAGCAGGCCTACCAAGTAGGCATTATGATCTACGATGTCCAGGTCTCTGCGCTGAGCTTTCCTAGGCTTGCGATTGTCATCACAGATGTACGGGACCCATTGCTCAGCCTCAGGTTTGCCTACAATAGCCTGATAGGTGGTGCTCTGGCCTTGGTGAAAGACTGCTGCTACCACCCGGAACTGCTCTAATCTCGTGCAGGCGTTGCCAGCATCAGTGAAAACAGGCAAGGTCACTGTGGCACCTGGCCGTATGACCACACGCTGCATGTTTTTGCTAACATGGGCACTGTAACGGCAGATTTGCAGAAAGATGCAACCCCCATGATGAGTGAGTGCATGTGTGGCAAACTGATGTTGCCACGAATCCACGAGTGCTTGCAACGACTCACCTGGAAGGTGTAGAAACAGTGGGATGCCGAGGTCACCTGAGTCGTGCACTTGATGAGGATTAGTAAGGCGTGCCTCCCAACCTCCCGCACAAGCGTCCGGCTGGGCAACAGCAAGAAATCCTTGCAGGAACTCGCCTGCATCATGTTGATTGTGCAGTTGCCGCCACCCTCTAAAGAGCGCATGCAGTGCCATGCAGCGGGGCAGCATGAGATCACCTGTCGTGCGCAGGATACGAATCCCCGCCTGCAAACTGCCATAGCAGGCTTGTGCCGAGGTTGACACCTCGCCCAACCAATACACGCAATGAAAGATGGCATTGCAGTAGCACAAGTTGGAGCTGTTGCGAAGTCTTGCCTGCGGAAGTGTGGAAGGCCGGCGCTATTGGCACCTCTGGCAAGCTGCACCTCCTCCAGTGCAGCAGCAGCGTGCCGACCTAGGCATCGCCGCTCCAGGGCGCCGTCGGTTGCGTCCACTCGCAGAAGGTGGTGCCCATATAGGACTGCTTCAGCTGCTTGATCAGTTGGGTTTCCTGTCCCCGCTCGGGGCGTACCCGTACTCCGATCAGCTTCATGAAGGCCGAGCCGCTCAGAGTGCGCAGCGCATTGAAGCAGATTGCACTGGATTCCCCCCTCAAGCCGATGGACACCATGTACGGGAGAACCTCGCCTTGTACTGACCTTTCGCATTCATGCGCCTTGTAGTCTTGAAGTTCTTCAAGACTCCTTCCCTTGGGATGTGCAGCATCAGCTGATCGATCAATCGCATGGCGTCCGCATGTGATAATGGCTGGTCCGCCGCCACCACTTGCTTCTTCTCCGCCGGATCCCAGGAATGGTAAACCCACTTGGGATTGAGAGCTTGGTCGCCCTCCACTGTCCAGCCCACATTCTGGCACCGCTGGACCTTCTCGCCATCCGCAAGCGTCGCCTCGGCTGTGGCCCGTAGTGTTTCCAGCAGCGCCATGAACATCACCAGGCGCAATGGGCTTGTCACAGTGCCCTTCGTGTACTGCTCCTGCCAGTTTTCGGCGACCTGGTGGAGCACCGAAAGGCATCCCAGGCCGGAAGTATCTATGAAGACCATGTATCCTAGATCCTGCTTCAGGCGTTGGATCTCGGCCTCGTGGCGTAGCATTGCTCGGACCATGTTGCTCATCAGGTCCTGCGTTGCCTGGTCCAGCTGAGGTGGCTGTGCGTTCTTGGCCTCCTGCTGGGCATGTGGCCACTGTTTGGACCCGCTGCCCCAGCTGCCCTGGTACCAACCATCCTGCGATTGACCTTTGCCGCCCTTCGATGCCCACTTGGGACGGCGCTCTTCCTCCGCTTGCTCCTTCTCCGCCGCATGGGCCAGCATCTGCTGGTCTGAGGAGGGAGCCCCCATTACCTGCCTTAGCTCCTCCCGTGCCGTCTTTGCACGCGCCTCCTCCAGTGCCTCCTGAGCTGAGTCCATGACGGTCCTGACAGAGCAGCAGAGAAGCAAGAGAGGCCTGGTACAAGACCACGCAGTGTCGCAAGTGCCGTCCTGGTTGCTGCACTGGAGTGCTACAGAAGCTACAGAGGCGCAAGGCTCGCAATCCCGCACTACAGCATTGAGACACAGCAGCACCGCCACGCTTCTGGGTGCATGAGGCGCTGATGTTGTTTGGCTCGGGCACACCACTGCCCACAAATGACGCAATACTCTTTAAGCCGCGCTCTGTAATCCGCATTTTCAAGTGGTCGCTTCCAGTGCTGTCGCGCTAACTGTTGAAAAGCTGGATCCTGCAACAGGGCTGCTGCCGGGACCGCAACTAAAGAGGCTTCCGACGGTGCGCTGACCCTCACCACGTCATGAGAGGTGGTCGGGGAGGTCCGGCACGGATGCCCCAGCAACCCCCCGCGCATCCCAGGGACCTGACCTGGAGATACGCTGACCACCTCGGGCTCCCTCGTTGTCTGGCTAGTCTCAACATCCTTCTTACATTTCGGACATCCTTTCCGGAGATGCTTCTTAAGACCCTCTACTCTAGTGAAGATTCTGCGACACCAACGGCATGTGGGCATTCCATCCACTCCTCCGGCAACATAATCCTGCGCAGCAAGCACACCCGCCTGTACTTTTAAGGCAAGCTGCTTGTGGCTACGGGCCCTGTGCGATCTCATGATGCGAAAGCTAGGGAAGTAGATACCACAGTCAGGACAGGCGACCCCTTCCTGTGCATCAGCAGAGCGGAGGTTGGAATTGCTGGAGGCCACTGCGAGTACATCCTGCAATTCCTGAAGCTTAGCAGCAAACCACTGGCGTTCTTGTGCATCGCTACTCTTTGCAATTCTACGCTCAAGTGCTTGATGAAGAACTTTTGAAGGAGAAGACACATTAAGACGCTTACGCAAAGCCTCGCTGCTTTCATGCGACAAAAATGCGGGAGACCGAGCCAGCGAGCGCAGGGCACGAGAATCAAACTGATCCAATTTCCTGACAACATGCCCGGTGACGCCCACAGCAGTCAGCCCATACAGGAGACTACTTCTCACGCATGCTACATAAAGCCTAGCTCGCTGGCGCAGTTGCAAGCGCTTGCTGCGCAACACTCGGCCAAGGCGATGCTTACACCCGTGTGCCAAACTGCATGACAGGACCCTTATCGCTGCACAGCGTTCTGGCCTTCAACCATCTTTTGGCTGCACCGCCCTGTAGCTTTACGACAAATCTTGACTTGTCCATGTTGAGCTGCATGCCGAACTCACGAAAGGTTTGAAAAGTAGCACGCACACTCCGCACTAGGAACCTCAGGTCGTCCACGTGATTGATAATCCATGTGAAATGGGAGTCATCTGCAAACAGTGTGATGGCTTGCTGAGCCCAAGTGTGGGATGTGCGTGAAGCCAAAACATCATAGATGTGGCAGGTGAACAGGGTAAAGAGTAATGGACTCAAAGCGCAGCCCTGGCGGACTCCTTTCCTCATCGGAAACACGCCTGTTTGTCCCTTGTGCGTGACCTTATAAACACATTGCACATGAAGAGCTATGATGAGGTCTCTAAGCTCTGGAGGGACTTTTGCGTGATCCAGTGCCGCGCTCAAGGACTCACGTGGAACCTCATCGAAAGCACGGCTGAGGTCCAAACTTAACATGGCCCCACCACAGCATGCCTTCACCGTCTTTCGGGCTCTTCTGTCATGTACCGTGGGGACAGCACACTTCATTTGCTCCCGCACATAAGCACAGTGTTGCACCACCCGGGCTATGGCTCCATCGATCGACTTCCCTGTGATGTAGGCATACTGCGGCTTTGACATGACAAACTCCTGCACGATACTCTGCAGGCGTTCACGAACAGCCATGGCCACTATTTTGGAGCTGGGGTCCTGTAGTCCAAGTGGCCTCAAATCGGCAGGCCTCTTACTGGTCTTATGAGGCTTGGGTAACAACGAAAGCGTACAATCAACTACTTCCGGTGGTAACAACCGTGACTGTTCGCCTGTGGCATTGAGGATGCAGGCTAGCCTGTCCGCGTACGCTTCAGGGCAGAGTTGCCAAATTTCAGCGGGGGCACTGGTCTGGGGCACGGCCTTCCCCCGTTTCAGACCGGAGATTGCCTGACCAAGCTCAATTGCCTCAAACAGGAGCCGAGCTTGACCCGCAGGACATTCGGCCACTGGGCCATCAAAGGCTGCCCGGAAGTGTTGAAGAATCTCACTGAATTCTTCCTTGGGACCTAGCATAGCACCACTAGCGCTGCGAATGCGCACTTTCTCATGTCTTCGGCGAGGAGCTAATTTATTAATCACCCTATAAACCGCTCCTATGTCACTACGTTGAGCCGCATGCTCAGCTTCTTGTATATGCTCTTCAAACCACTGGATCCGGGCAGTTCTGCTGGCCTGACGTAGAGCACGGCTCTGCCGCTGGAAGACCGTGTACAGGCGCCAGGCAGTGATTAAACCACTAAGACCCCTATGGCGTTGATGGTGTTGGAGCGCGGCATGCGCCTGCCTCATGGCCTGTACTCGGCGCACAACCTCTGGCTGATTGCTGGGCTTGCGTGCAGTCTGCCGCACTCCGGGAAACAGACGCTCACAGTGGCTAAGCATTTTCGCATTGAGCTGCTGCAGTGTAGCATCCGGGGGGGCGTGCTCTAAGGTCTGACGTACTAGAGTATACAGTTCTTGGGCTTTGGGGTCCCAATTTCGAAGCGAAGATCTAAACTGGGGCAGGGAAAAACCAGGTTTGGAGCTACTTCTGGGCCTAAACGTCTAATCGGCTCTCCATGGAATGCTCGCTAGCACTGCTCGATGCTTAGCCCCGGCCCTCCATGGTGCCAAGTCGAACGAAACTGGGCGTGCAAGTCGGGCTACGCGATCGGCCGTGTGTCTGCGCATGGCTATGAAGTCGATTTGGCTGCAAACCGTATCAAAGCGATAGGTATGACAAACATCTTTATTCGACTTACTCCAGGTATTGAGGAGGACCAATTGGTGTTCGGTAAGAAGAGCCTCAAGTTCCCTATCAGGTTGATGCGTGGTCCTAAGAGTACCTCTGCCTATCAGACCAGGTAGGGGCCGACACTGAGTATTAAAATCTGCTCCAACACGACAAGGTTCCTGAGAGGAATGTGATGTAGAAGCGTTCCAAGACTCGTCCAGAACTGAGTGCGTTTTTCAGTGGTAGCTGCCACGCCGCTGTCCGAGCGAACCCATTGATATCCGGCAATGACATCGAGGGTTTTATCTGCAGTAACGCATCTGGTATGAAGCAAACGGCCTGGCAAACAGGACTTAAAGCTGATTTGGTCAGAATCGGCTACGCGATGAGATATCGCCACTCCCACGCCCGCGTAGCGTTGCAAGGGATCCGCGCTTATCACCAATGACCAGCCAGGGACGGTCCATGTTGCCTCTGTGCGGCCGCACCCCCAATGAAGTTCTTGGAGTATCACGATGTCGTCCGTGCATGTCGTTGTTAACCAGAAATGCAGGTGGTCGTAAACAGGAGCATTCACTCCTCCCAGGTTGTAGCAGCGCACGCGCAGTCTGGCAGTGCGCTTGGCACCTGCAGCTGCGTCCAGCCAGCGTTTGGGAGGTCCATCCTGCTGCCTGGTCGCGGAGCTATGTGTGCCCAGTGCAGAGGCGCTCATCCATTTGCCTCTGTAGTAAGTGCCACCATTTTGCTCCGCCCGGCGCCTTGCTCTGCGGTACGCCCTCTTGCGAATGGCCGAGTACCGTGTTGTATGACTGTTTTCCTCTCCAGGAATTTTCGCTACGCCTTGCGACGCAACTCTCGAGCCCCTTGTGGAGTAGAGCTCAACCCTCGGGTCTGCAGAGCGACTGCCTGCTGGTTCCGTCGCTGCATGCACCATACCCTGCTGCGGGATTTGGGACCCGCACAGCCAGAAGAAAGAAGGTGATAACAGAAGTGTCAGAAAAAGATACTTGCCCACACTAGCCAGCTTGGTTCCACTCATGGCACCACAGCGCGACACTTCTACCTGTTTCCCTGCTCCAGCCGAGACCCTTAGTAGTAGTAGTAGTAGTAGTAGTAGTAGTTGTAGTAGTAGTAGTAGTAGCAGCAGCAGCTGTAGCAGTAGTAGTAGTAGTAGTAGTAGTAGTAGTCACTCACATACGCAGCTGCAAGTCCCTGATTTTGTTCGGATTCTGATCTCAAAGTCTGCTTCCGAATGTTCCAAAGGACTTCAAAGTTTTAGACCATCCTTCTTACTCACGTGCACACTTGCAACAACAACAACAAGATAACGTATACGTCTTGAAATTGCCGACGAGTGGACATGACTCAGCACCACCTCGACAACACCACAGAACATGGTCCGGCCTGTGGCGGGCAAACGGAAAAGCGACCATTCACTCAACAAGTGAAAGCAGCGGGCCGGTGACAACCGCCAAACACAAAAGCAGCAGAAAAAAGCCCCAGTCATGGAGCAGATAGAGTACGAAAAGACCACCTTCGCTTGAGCAAGCGTCGCTGTAGTGTCACCATCATTCAGCGATTTCAGGCGATTTCTACGGGCTGCGCAAGGTCAGCCTTTTCGCCGAGCCTCACAGCTACATCTAGCCATTTCCGAGCGAAAAATCAATCAGCGCCACGTCTGCCACGTTCGCGCTGCTTCTCCGCATCTAAGCACAGCACGGTAAGTGGAAGGTACACGCAACTCAGTGGAAACGGGCTTCTCTGGTGGAGCCCCGGGATGCTGGGCCGTCAGCAGTTCTGACAGCAGCGTCCGAGCCACTGGGAGGGCCAGCGTGTCTGGCTTGCCTCTGTAAGCAATGCTTCCACAGGAGTTGCGGATCAAGTGTACCACAACCAGATGAAAGACTTGGACCAGCAGCAGAAAGCTTCGAATCGACCATCCCAAGCGGTCATGCGACAAGTCCACGAGTCATGCCTTACACCTCCTAAGCACTCTTCAGCGACCTGGAAACATCACATCCGAAATCACCATCGCAGATGAAGCACAAGAACCATGACCCGTCACAACTATCTGCAACTGGACATACTGCACGGTCAGTTTAGCGGGCTTATGGAGTATGCACGCAGGAGGGGTGAGATGCGGAACGAAGACTCGCAATGGTTCGTAATGGCGAAATTGGAATCAGTTGAATAGAGAGAAGCACTTTCATGTCACTTTCATGTCCT